TTTGGGCTATTCATTAATAAGATCCAATTAACTTGATTCCCCAAAAAATTGACAAATAATCAAAAGTTTAATAATCGATCATTATAGAGCTTACCCTACGAAATTATCACAAAAATCAATATTGAATCAAATTAGGATTGTATTGTAACGAAAAATAGAGCTATAATTTTTGCTTTTCTACCTAGGTAACTGTTGCGCTCTTTCACTTTGATCTAATATTGATCGAAGTGACGGCGGTCTCGTAATAATCCGGGATCTAGCCGGATGATCAGGAGGCACGATGCTTTCGTCCTGGTTAAAAAAAGACGCGATGAAAATCGAAAGGCATCTTTTTGTTTTTCTAAATAGAATTAATTCCTTAATTTACCACAGGTGTACCACATAATAAAAGTGCTTCTTCGTGATTTGGAAATTCAATCTTGTGAGAAAGACGACAATGATTAAGGAACCCTTGTACGTTGATAAATCTCGATCGATGACATTCTGGACAAGTTAATCTATTTTGCAAGATTTACGTGATAAATTGATGGGAACCAAAAATTTAAAAAATTAATTCAATAATATTATAATCAAAATAGCACCTAAATACGTATATAACTAAAAAAGAATAATCCACTTACTTTACAAATGTCCCGTCATTTCTTCTCGAGAACAAATCTCTACATGGATCAAAATATAAGTAATCTTTATCGCGCGTCGATACAACCTTACGTGTTGATTGCCGCGTAGGTATTATTGAAGGGATATTGTTGTTGATGTTTGCGGTACCATTAACATCACTGCCACGCTGATGTTGTTGAGCGTCATGCGAAAAGTCAACTTGTGAATTTTCGGCTGAAGATTAAATTAACTATAATTCATTAGACATCATCAATTTTTTACATAATCATACTAATAAGTATAAAAAGATCGTTTGTTATTTGTATTATTGTACAACACGATGTCTAATATCAAAAATATATCTTTCTATATGGATTGGAAATTCTATTATTTATTAAATATAAAGAAAACTCAACAAAAATTATTTTGTTGTTCAACAAACACCAATAATCGTTACAAATATATAGATATATACATTTTATAACAAAGTAAAAGTAAACACTTCTCCTACCTAAGTCTGTCATTGATTCATTCAATTTATTCATACATTCATTCACTGTTTAAAGAATCAAGCTCACCTTCAATCAAGCAATTCTTCAAGGTCTCGAGCGTAATTTCGGATTTTTCAAGTTCTACTTGTATTTGATGTAATTCTTGTTGCCGTAATAGTATCTCAAGATCGAATTCTGCATCAATTACTCGAGTTGCTTTCCGTATATTTTGTGGGTCTTTTTCCCAAGTCAAGAATAACCAAAGTTTTTGCGAATTATAGTCAATAATACGGTTTTTTATTCAAGGTCATGATACCTGAAATAAAAATTACCTCGAGGTATTGGTCGAAATCGAGTGCTGGCAATGTTAGTCCCGCCAGCAGCAGCAACGTCCGCGCTTTTTTCCCTTTTACCTGAGTTGTTGAACGCGTCCATGGTATTTTTATTGAGTATTTTATTTCTTTTACAACAGAATATCGATTTTTTGTTAAAAGCAGTAAATCCTCGATTCTCTTTCAATATCCAATTCTTGTGTAATTTAGATTTATAGGATTTATAGTTTTTGATAATCTTAACGTTAACACTAAACATTATTCCGGGTCCTTGTATCACATATCTATTGTTTGTTGTGTTGTTTGTGGTGTTTGTTGTTGAACCTATTTCTAAATATGTGTGGTGGAGGTGCATAGCTGAACATCGGATTTTCATTCAAATCTTTTCCTTTGCAAAGTACTTTGAAAAAAAAAATGGTTTCTTCAATGTTACCACAGCCAGAAATTCGCATTCCCGAAGCCGTTCATCCACCGGTACCAGGCGAAAGTCACAAATATTATGGAAACATTCACGTAAAACAAGTAAAACTTCCGTCAACCTCCCTGACGCCAAGTTATCAGAACCAACGACGACAGTCTAAAGAGAACCTCTCGAACGACGCAAACCAGTCTATTTACGAGGCAACTGCTGCTGGTCACTTGTGGCGTGTAAAAGAATTGTTGGATCCACAGGGCGTCGCGGAAACTTCGCATTCTTTTTTGATTGCCAATGAGACGAACCAGTCATCTGGATTGACGCCGTTGCACTATGCTGCTTCAAAGGGGCATTTGGAAATTGTAGAGTATTTGATTGAGACGGCGGGAGCTATGATTGATCTTGAAGATTCTACGGGAGAGGTGTGTAATTTTATGTGAATTAATTTAGCTATTGATTTTCTATTTTTATTTGGACCTTTTTGTATTTGATTGTAATCTCTATTTCATTACGTTATTATTACAGACTGCGCTGTTAAAGGCTTCTTATAATGGCCATACACATGTAGTCGCATTTCTTCTTCAAAATAAATCAAGAGTTGACCAAGTCGACAATGACGGATGGACAGCCCTTCATAACGCTTCATCACAAGGTCACACAAAAATCGTAAAATATCTTGTTGAACACGGTAACGCAGATTTAGATGCAAAAAGTTCAAAAGGATATACACCATTAAGTATGTTCGTTACGTTTCCATTTAAATAACATCTGTGGATTCTTTCTAATTTATTCTACAAATATTTGTGACCCGAAAATTATATTATTGAAATTTATCATATAATACTATTAGTGAATGCCGCGTCAAAAGGTCATCTTGACATAGTAGAATACTTATTAGCAAGAAAGGCCAACCCGTTCATCAAAAATAATTTTGGAGAAGCTGCGTATGATGTGGCAGCTAGTAGTCACGAAATTTATATTTGTGAAAGGCTTGAAGAAGCTGAACGTAAATGGTGGAAGGGCAAACGTCCTATACCAAATCGTATGTTTTATGTTTTTTATACAGACTATTTCTCCCGAAAGTATTCTCATTTTCACTTGTTTCTTTCGTAATTAGCCACTTCTTTTGGGGAACTTGTATCCACTCCAGCATTAAACCAACCATATGACGTTAACACATTCCACATTTCTGTCCCCGTGGTTCTTCACGAAAATCAACGTGCATCTAATGCATTTCCCATTCTGCGTGGACCTGCAAGATATTCTCCTCTAGTTAAGGGTGACTCACGAGGACCTTGGTCTGATTCCAATGGTGTGCCAACCACAAAAGATGATGTCCAGTTACCAATGGGTTTTATTTCATCAGCAGCTTCAGTTATATCAAATTCAACCTCATCAAAACAACAAAGATTATGGTTTTGGTATTCAGATTGGCAGATTGATCTCTCACATCCACGTGTCGATTCTCAGGGATGGCAATATGCGCGAAATTTCGACGAGGTGGAGCCAATGTGGATTGCGACACCACCTACCAGCGGTAGTAGTTGGGTGAGACGACGAAGATGGTTTCGTGTAATGAACGATTATTAAACTTTTGATTATTTGTCAATTTTTTGGGGAATCAAGTTAATTGGATCTTATTAATGAATAGCCCAAA